GGTAGAGAACTGCTGGTCTAGTGAAGCCATCATAGCAGATATATGCCAGGCCCCACCCACCGAACCCTTGCTGGGTGCAGGTGACATGGTAGGCACTGGGGATATCAGTGAACCACACAGACAGATTCCTGTGCACAGGAACCTTACGTTCCAGAGAGAGTGGAGACAGAGATGAGAATAATGGGAGGTGTGGGGTGTTTGAAGGTGAGCCACATCAGGGAGAAAATGAAGCAGAAGAGCTAAGGGGTGCTGAAGGACATGGGTGGGTTTCTATTCTAAACAAGGAAGGAGGTAAGGTGGAGCCATGAGGCTCACTGTGGAAGAGACTTCCCAGCAAAGGGAACCCCCAGTGTAAAGGCTCTGAGGCAGAAGTGTGCCTGGCATGCTTGGGGAAGAGCCAGGAGGCATAGGCTGAAGAGAGCAAAAGAGGAAGAGAATGGCCTGAGGCAGGCCCTGTCAGGACTTGGGGTTTTCTTTTGAGACACAGCTATTGAAGGGTTTGGACCAGTGGAGGGTGTAGCATGCTCTGGCTTCTGTTCAAATGCATTGTGCAGGCTGTCATGCTGAGAATAGACTGCAGAGGTTAGGGGCAGCAGCAGGAAGAACAAGGAGGAGGCGTGGGAGGAGGAAGGCGAAGTGGAAGAGGCAAGCAGAGTTCTGGAGATGGAGATGTGGGAGTGGTGAGCAGAGAGCTGGTATTGGCAGATAGGAGCACCTAGGAAATTTGTGGATGTGAATAAAAAGAGAGAAAAGGCCCAAATACAAGCCCTGGGGCCCCTGGACACAAGAGATAAGGAGAGGAAGAAGGAGGACCTGAAGACCCAAGTCCAGCCAGAAAGTAGGGGTGAGGTATGGGGAGCACTGAAGTGCCCACTGAGGGGGTCCCCAGGAAACAGGGGCAGAAGAGAACAGAATGAATTAAAATGGAAGCCATGAGTACCAACAGCATTCCTCAGGCTGTTCCTAGCAGCTAGAGAGCACTTTGGCACCAAGAGAGGGTCTGTTTCAGGATGGGACAAAGCAGTAACCTAGAGAAGGGAGAGAGAGATGGGTGCAGGGGCCAGGGTAGGCACCCAGGCAGTAAAGGAAGAAATGGGGGCATGGTGGCACATTAGGTCTTAGTCAGGGTAAGACAGAAAGCTACAGGAGAGTCTCCCAGCCCCAGCCCTAGCCCAACTTGATCCTCCTTGGCCTCCCCAGATGCCTTGACCATAACCTTAGGAGTCATCTTTAGTGGACAGTGCTTTTCACACCTCTTTTGCTTTTGAATTATCCTCCTTGAATGTTTGGAGTTCCCACTAGAAGGTGGGGGAGGGCAGGGCCTGACTGAGCAGTCAGAGAGAAGGGACCCCAAAGACGTCTGCCACACAGGTAGGATCCTGGAAAAGATAGAGGGACCAAGCAGGTGAAATCTCTGCCCTCAGGGGTTGTGGATCCTGGGGGGCCTCCAGGGGCCCAGTAGACATGGCAGAAGAAGCAGAGGTGGGGAGGGCATCACTGTGAAGAAGTTGGGAACTAGGGGGCCACAGGACACACTGATGTATGGCATTGTGTCAGGTGTTCAGGTGCCTCTGAAGTTCAGCTGGAGCCCTGCACTGGGACAGGAAAACTAGATGAGGGCCAGGGCTGGCCAGGGTAAGGCTGAGGGCACTCTTCTTCAATGACTCATTACCCATTGGAGGAGAGGTGAAGGAGCAGCAGGTACATAAGTCTAGCATGCCAGAAAGGGGTGTGCCCTGGCTACAGACACAGATGGAGGTGGTACAGAGGGCATGTTTAACATCAAGGTGGTCTGTGGGCTGTAGGCGTCATTGATAGACAGTCTTGAGAGAGGTGAGGTCCCTTTGGGAGTGGTAGAGATAAAGAGGTTGCCTTGAGGACCCCACCCTGGATCCCTGGGACCACCCCAGGCTGGAAGAGCCTGAGGAGGCAGTAGGGGCCATGTGCGGGGGAAAAGGTGCTGGTTCCACTCAGTCTTGGTCACACTTTTGCTGGGACACACTAAACTCCACCGTAGTGATGTCCCTCAGACCCCATGTTCAAGCTTGGCTCCCCAGGGTGAGTGTCTCTTAGAAATGTTTGCCACTTCTCACTGAGCCAGCATCTCAGGAGTTGACTATGCCCTTCAGTGTTGAGTGGCCTGAAAGCACCATCGTAAGACAAATGCCAAGCCCTTTGTTAATAGCCCAAGATGTGACTACAGGGGAATGGAACCTGCAGGTCAACTGTAAGAGACTTTCAGGATGGCACAAACCTAACTGAAAGCCCCCACCTGCGGAATGTTTGAGCAGCCAGCCCCGGCACCCCCTGTTGATGATTGAGCGACTGCTCTGTGCCAATAGGCAGCAAACAAGCAGACACAATCCCTCCCCCAAGGCCAGTGACAAGACAGACATTAAAGTGAGTCTTTGATTACACCGAGGAGGTGCACTCTGAAGAAGCTGGGAAAGGAAAGGCTCATTAACCTTTTTGGGCAAAGGTTTTGGAGTTTAACCAGGTGCAGGGAGACCAGAGGGTTTGAGCAGGGGCTTGGCCTGATCACATGACCAGGTCCAAGTGAGAGGACCAGCTCAGCAAGGGGAAAGAGTATAACCAGAGTCACCAGATCATTGCTGATAAAACCACCACAAAAGGCTCCCAGAGTCAAGGGCAGCAGCTTGCAGCTTGCTGTCATTCCTGTGACTTCAGGGGTGTGGCCGACAGCTGCAATGGGGACTTCGCCACCACCATGTAGCCATGGCTGATGTTCTGGTGGCTACCCCACAATTCTGGCACCAGAAAAGGCACAAATAATAAAGCCATATCTGCAATGGCTATAAAAAGTACATTCTGTTTCTTCTTATTAAAAATATCAAACAATTCTCAATTTCTGTGTTACCCCTATTGCCAAAAGTGATCTGCAGGAAATAAGGAACTAAGTGCAAATAGTTGGCCATCTGCGATCTGGAAGACGTAGCTTCACCAAATTCAGAGAAAATCCTAACTGAATTTAATACATGGAGGTAGAAAATTTCAATTTTATGGGGCTCTTTGGCTCACTATTTTGCACTTGAAAGACTGAGGCTTGCCTGGTTTAAACTGATCTACGAGCACTGTGCTTGGCAGAGCAATGCCTAGGGACCAGATGCTAGAGGGTCGAAAGGAACTCATTGTCAACAGTGTGATTCATGGTCTAAATGAGGGGGCAGCAGAAGTCTCCAAAAAAGGGCTTTGCAGGCCCAGTCTCTGTCCCAACGATACAACTCTGCCCTTGGATCTTGAAGACAGCCATAGGCACTGCATAAATGAAGGGTGTGGCTGTGTGCCAATAAAACTTTATTTATAAAACCAGGCTGAGGGCCAGAGTTAGCCCTTGGGCCACAGTTTGACAATACCTTATCTAAACCAAGAAAACCAAATCCTAGAACTTTGGACCTAGAATGACTTTGGAACTCATGTTGTGTTCACCCACTCACAAAAGGAGGGGCTGGCTTCCCCATCTCAGCCAGCTAACTTGAGTGGGCCCAGCAAAGGCCTTCCTGTTGTATCTGGCTTCTAGAAGCAAGAGGGAGCTCAGGCTGGGGACCAGAAAGTGAGAAAAGAGAAGCAGCAACTCTGTGACTTGTAAGCCTGGTGAGACTTGAGCATAAACGTAAGTGAGGGTGGAGCACCAGTGAAGGGAGGGGTCAGAGAAACCGCAGGGCTAATTCTAGGAGCAAGGTCTTATAGGAGGTGCAGGGCTCAGAGGACCACCATGGCTGGGGAGTAGGACATTGTGGGAAGCTCTTCCCTGTGGGGAGTTACGCTAATCTGAGGTCTACAGATGCTAGTGAGATGGCCAGGTAACAAGGTGTAGAAAAACCCTAGTGGAGGGACTGAAAGAAGTTGTCTTGGAGAGTGAAGAAGAGGAGAACACAGCATGAGAAAGGCTGGAGGGGCAGGTTGCACCAGATTGCTAAGAGCTTCTGGTGGTAGGAGATACATGTGTAGAAGGTCTTCTAAGGGAAATGATGATCCAGTCAGATGCACCTAGATGTGGGCCAGGGGACTGTAAAGAGACACAAGGAATCACTGCAGTGGATCATGGCATCTGGTCAGGACAGGCTTAGTGGGTGCAAATCGAAAGTGAGGCCATTTTCAGTTATGGATGCCTCCAGGTGGGGAACTGAAAAGCTCTCAACCCTGGAACACTGAGGAAGGGTCTGGACCACAGTCCCTGGTTATAGAGAGATGAGTCCCAGAGTTATGTCCAGGGCTAGGAGGTGAACCTGGTGGTATGGTCAGAAAGGAAGAGGGCCAGAGCCAGGCGAGGACACTGGGGCACCCTGGGACAGAGGAAGGAGCAGTAAAGGAGATGGGGCCACAGTAGCCAGTGAGGTAGGAGGGGGGGCAGGCCTGGGCAATGTCAGGGAAGCCAAGATAAGTTTCCAGAAAGGGCAGTTGGCTGTGTTGAGTGCCCCTGAGGGGTCAAATAAGATGGAGACACAGAAATGGCCCCTGGACTTAGCAGGCAGACTGGTGGCCAGATAGGTCTGGCATGGCAGGTGCTGGCTGTGGCCAGGAGAGCTGGGAGGGCACAGAAAAGGTCCCTAGAGAATGCAGGAAGGGAGATCCACTCAAGAAAGGTTACCAATGCACCACCCATAGGATAGGGAAAGGAGAGGTAGCAGGCAAGAACCCAGTGCTTCTGTCATTCTTGAGCTCCAGAATATCTGCCCAGATCAACCTAGAGAAAGCCACTGTCATTTTTCCTGCATGTGGATCAGTTGACAAGACTGAGACCCAAACTGAAAATCCTTACCACAGCCAGACAGAGCCACCCCAACTGTCCCAATCCAAAGGATGAACACTTGTCACACAGTGACCCCTCTGCCATTGATGTGGGTGGAACTCGCCAGCACCAGTCTGCCATTGATTGTCTCCTTTCTTTCTTCTTTCCTTCCTTCCTTCCTTCCTTCCTTGCTCCCTCCCTCCCTCCATGCTCCCACCTCGGGCTCCTGTCCCTCCACCTCCCGCTCCAGATCCGAGTGGTGAAAGCATTCCGTAGCTCACTCTATGAAGGCCTGGAGAAACCGGAATCCAAGACTTCCATCCATAACTTCATGGCAACGCCCGAATTTCTGATCAATGACTACACCCACAACATCCCGCTCATAGATGATACGGACGTGGATGAGAACGAGGAGCGCCTGCGTGCCCCCCCACCCCCATCCCCTAATCAGAACAACAACGCCATAGACAGCGGCATCTACCTGACCACGCATGGCACCAAGTCAGCTACCTCGTCAGTGTTTTCTTCCAGACCCGGGAGTCCACTCCACAGCGTGGAGACATCCCTCTAAGCATAACTGCTCTCCGCACGCGCACCCCTGCACACATGGGCACCCAGGCAGGACGCACAAGCCTGCAAGGAGGGCACAGCCAAGGCAGTTGAAGATGTTGCTCACACAGCACTTGCAAGAAGCCAATCCATTCAAGGCTTCTTACCTAGGACCAAGGAAATGGAGGAGGAGGAAGGAAAAACAAGAGAACAAGAAGAGCTGTGTCCCCCCCTTTTTTTCTATCAAAGCTTTTTTTTAGTGAACACTACAATGCCACCAGATGTTTGTCATTTGGGCTGTGTTGTGGGGAAGGCTGTTGGTTTTGGTTTATTGGGAACTTCGTTGCACCCACTGGACAGCAATTAGATAAACAGATTCATACAAAAGGAAAACAGGCCAAGCACTGCTTTGCAGGGCTGGGAAGGATGCTCCTAACCAGACAGCCCACCGGAGGGAGCCGCCTGCAAACTTACTGGAACTGCCAAGCACCCCATCCCCAGGACACATGTGCAGTCTGTGTGTGTGTGTGTGTGTGTGTGTGTGCGTATAGACATATACGTACATATATTACCATATACATATTTAAAGAATAAGGAACTATTTATTGGCATGAATTTCCATTCCTCTTATCAGGTGTTTTTATTTTGAAATTTCATTATTTATTGTGGCAGGGTTTTGTTTTGTTTTGTTTTTTTCAGGGAACTAGACTGCAAGAGTATCTTTTTGATTGCTTGCCCCATCCCTGACTCCCCTGCTCCTCCCCTCTGTTCTCCCTCCTCCTGGCACATTCCTGGCAAAGTCACCATTGAGATTCCCAGTAGAAGGTCAGGGGAGAGAAGGACGTGGTTAAAGTGAAAGAAGTTACAATTGGAACATTTGCACTTTGAGGCCCCTGCTTATAGAGGGGAAAACATCATTTCAATGGAATTTTTATTTAAAAGGAAAATACCAAAGTATTATTGAAAGATCCCTTACAGGAGGTAGAAGGGGGAGTTTTGCTTTCAGTTTCATTTCAACTCCAAGTGCTGAATTCTGGCTGGTGGGCTTTCTTTGTCTTCAATTCAACCTCAAGAGCATGAAGCTCTGCCCCCTGCCGCCTGTGACCCCATGGGGGGACCCAGAATGGGGAGGGGGCAGTGACAAGAGTCAGCCAGAAAGCAGAGGAAGAGGTACCATCAAAACCCAAGAGAAGCTGACTCAGCTGCAATGCAGACCCCAGCCCTCTCGGCGCCTCCAACTAGACTCTCACTCTTTGCTTTGGCAAATGCCAACAAGTTGTTGCTGAGGCTCCCATAAAGCAACTGGGAAAAATTCTCAGTCACAACTTGCCAAAGCACTCTTCTGACCCCAGTCTTCTCATTCAAAGACAACTATGACCCATGACAACATGCATTTGTGTCTGCAGCCACCTACAGAGACATCAGGGAAACAGATGCTGAAGCAAAAGCCCCTGGGAGCCATGGCACCTCGTGGCTGTTGCTCTAATCACACCTGTGGCCCTTTCTCATGAGTCTGAAAGACTGAGGAGGTCAGCTGTACCGCATCAGCTGAACACCTGGTCTGCAGGTGGGGAGAGCTGGCCCTAGGCTCCCCAAGGAGCCTCTCCTTGCAGTGTGGCCACCCAGTGAGCCAAGCCTCAGTTTCCCCCAAATGTACATTAGCCAGGGAGGGAAATGCAAAAAAAAAAAAGCAGCAATGGTTCTTCTACCATCTGAATTCATCTGTCTCACATTTTTCAGGGAGGCAGTTGGGGTCCAACCACGGTTCCTCCAATGTACCTGTTGCTTGGGCCTGAGACTGAGCCACTGGAGGTCAGCTGAGAACTGAGTGTCATAGGGTCAGAATGGAAACCGCAGGTGCAGATGGGCACATTCAGCAACTGAGCAGCAGCTGGACTGGTAGCAAGGCTGGTCCGCCCATCACGCCCCTCCTCCGGCACCCACACGTGGGTCTTGTCTTACCTCCACCTGCATCTGTGAGCATCCATGCTGGGACTCTGCCGTTAACATGAATGCCATGTTACCCCTGAGCAGGAGTAGTTAAATCTTGGGCAAAGGAATTTCGGTTAGAAAAGAAAACCCCACTTAAAATGCCAGCTACAGATAACTTAAAGCCATCCCTTTTTTCCAAAGGGCACACTGAGAATGTTACCCATTTGTAAATTGTTCCCTATGTCCTTGTTTAAACAACCACAACAAAAAGGGCAACTCAATTTGTTGAGGGTCTGTGTGTTCTTAAACAAGAAATAAAATTGGAAACATTTCAATTGAAGAAGATAAGCTCCATAACGCTACACTCATGGGCTTCTTTTCACTCTCTGTTGTAGACACACTGATAGAACAAATGGTCCATATGTATTTAAACAACCCTCGCTGCTGCTGTACAAAGTTGCCTACTGTACATGTCAATTGTTTAGTCCCTAGATTGCCTATCCGTGGGGTGTATGGTTCAGAAAAGGGGGGCTGTGACCTCTGATCATTGCTCTGGTTTCTGTAGTTTTCAGGCCAAGGGACCTGTCTCATCAGGGAGCCCCCGTCTATAAAACATTATATTATATGGAATGGCTTGGTCCACTGTGTTCAGTTATTAAATGTTTTACATTTTTATCTGCCTGTTATAAACAATAATATCTTAATGAGGAAGACCACAGATGCATAATAATTTAAAGTCTGTAGTTGAACTTCCTAATTAAAGAATAGACCAAAATTTCTGTGTATAAAAAAAATGAAAGGCTCCTACAGTCCTGGTCTGGGTGACATGTGTGGTTTATTCTTTGGTGAATTATCTGGGACAAAAGGAAAGTGTCTTCATCTGCTTCACCCAGCTATGCCAAGCCCTGAGAGTGGTGGAGTTCCCCTGAGCATACAGCCTCCTTTCTGCCTTTCTAGTCCTTATGGAAGGGGTTCACCTATCCTGTGGGGTCAGAGGTGCTCCTGGCAGAGGTTTGCGTGGCAGTTCTCTAACTGTCTTGACCTGGAAGGGCCTGGTCTGACTGTCCACCACCCCGGGTGTGTCCTCAGAGGAGGGTGAAGGTCAGAGACCAGAGATGATTGCAACAATTCAATGCCAGCAAACGAACCCAAATGGCAGAACCTGGCACACAGGTAGAATCCCTCTTCTTTTTATTGTGGTAAAATATATACAATATAAAAGTTACCATCATAACCATTTTAACCAGTTCAGCAGCATTAAGTGAGTTCACAGTGTTGTGTAACCATCCTCACCATTCATCTCCAGAACTTTTGCATCTTCCCAAACTGAAGTCTATCCCCATTAGACACTAACTCCCCATGCCCCAGTCCCTGGCACCAACCATTCTATTTTCTTATGAGTTTGACTCCTCCATTGCCCTCGCAGAATGGAGTTGTATTTGTGCTTTTGTGACTGGCTTATTTCACTCAGCATAATGTCCTCAAGGTTCATCCATGTGGAAACATGTATCAGAATTTCCTACCTTTTTAAAACTGAATGACATTCTATAGTATGGATAGACACTTTTTTGTTAATCTGTTCATCCATCAATGGACACGTGGGTTGCTTCCATCTTTTCGCTACTGTGAGCATTGCTGCTGTAAACACAAGTGTATAAATATCTGAGTTTCTGCATTCAGTCCATTTGGGTATATATTCAGAGTTGGAATTATGGAATCAATATGGTAACGCTATGTTTACATTTTTGAGGAACTGCCAAACTGTTTACCACAGCACCTGCACCTTTTATATCCAACCACCCTCCCCCACCCACCCCTATTCCCACCAAGCAGTGCCCAAGGCTTACAGAGACTTCTTTAACCCAAACCCATTATTTTGCTCATTCATTTGCTCCATGAGTCATTCTGCCACTCATTCCTTCACTTACCAGGTGTCTTTGAGCACCCGTACAAGGGGACATCTGTGGTCTAGATGTGTCCCACCCCCTCTGCTTCACCAGCAGAGCCACAAAGTCAGCAATGGCCTGACACTTGCAAGTGACTACTGCAGTGATGGCTCCTAGACTCCCCGTGTCCCATTTCCATGTATTTCTATTTCTCCACTCTGCACTTTACCCTTTTAGACTTGGCAGTGCCAGAGGATGCATTTTCCAGGGAAGGTGCCAAGAAAGGAGAAAAATGGCTTCTCAGTTCCCTCCCTACCACCAGAACCTACACTTCTAAAAAAGCAAAAGGATAAATAGCTGCAAACAGCAAACAAATAACAAAGAGCTCTTGCTTCTTCATTGATATGCAAGTCCAACTCAAACCATAAAGCTATGTAAGTCTTCATTAGGCCAAATGCCAGATAGCACCTTATGGAGAGGATTGTGCTCCCTCAAAAGAATGGTTCACTTGTGTCTGTGGATTCTCTTTCCCACTGATTCACAGTATCAAATATGACATGGGGGAAAATTGGTACTTAGCCAAATTGATGGCTTGGAGCGAGGAAACATTATAACACTCATCCATCCACAAAGCCTACACCATCTTCATCACCCAGGGACACCTTGGGAGCAAGGGTGCATACTGGTACTCTGGGGAAGGCCACGCAGGAGTTTCCTGGTGCTGCTGTAACAAAGTTCCACAAACTGGGGGACTTCAAACAACAAACATTTATCCTGCCACAGCTCTGGAAGCCTGAAGTCTGAAAGCAAGGAGTAAACAGGGCCACACTTCCTCCAAGGCTCTGAGGAAGGGAACTTCCTTGTCTCTTCCAGCTTCAGCTGGTGGCTGGCAATCTTTGGCTCATGGCCACATCACCAGTCCCTGTCTCTGTTGTCACACAGTCTTTTCCTTCTGTGCATGTCTCTTCTAAGGACACCAGTCATGTTGCATTAGGGCCCCCTACTCCTGAAGGATCTCATATCACCTTGACAACATCTGCAAAGATTGTATTTCCAAATAAGGACCTGTTCTCAGGGGATTGGGATGTGAACCTTTTCTGGGGACACCATTCACTCCATCACAGCTAAAAAGGAAGAGATGGGCCAAGTTTCTCATAGGACCTGGTTTTCCCTCCTCCTTCTACCAGGTTGACATATTGAGTAAGACTCAGCCATTTGTCACTTTATAGTGATTAAGATGTGCTCTAGCCCTGGCTGGCATGGCTCCATGGATTGAGCATCATTCTGCATAGTGAAAGCTCACCAGTTCCACTCCCAGTCAGGGCACATGCCTGGGTTGCAGGCCAGGTCCCAGGTTGGTGGTATGAGAGAGGCAACCACACAGTAATGTTTCTCTCCCTCTCTTCCTCCCTCCCTTCCCCTCTCTAAAACATAAATAAAATCTTTTTTCAAAATCTCTTTAAAGCTCTTTTTTTTAAAACTGCTATAGACTAAAAAGCTCCTAGAAGCTTCAGGTTCTAGAAAATCTTCTTGATCTGCCCATGGCTGACCTTTTTGAACTTACAATAAAGGAGATGGGAGGCTGTATATCCTCAATCCCCATTATGTGTTTTACAAAAGCCTGTTATAGGAAGCCAAAAAGAACAACAAAAAATAGCCACCTTGTACCACTGACTTTAATTTAGATTCTATGGCCGAGTGTCCTTACAAAGCAGGGCTGGCAGGTCACATATTCCCAGACAGTATCACATACATCCCAATGCCTTCCCTTCTTCTCTATTCCAATGACAACACACT